AAGTTTAATGAATGCTTGATTGTTGATCTAAGTTTAATGAATGCTTGATTGTTGATCTAAGTTTAATGAATGCTTGATTGTTGATCTAAGTTTAACGAAATCCTTGACAACTTCAAAATTCTCTCCATTTATCCTGCTGTTGCTTATTGGTCCATTATAACAATTTTTGTTTTCTGAATGTTGAGGTGTAATCCATACTGAAGGTTGCAGTGTTTTGATTTCATCAGTAAGGGCTTCAAGTACTCTGCTTTCAGCAAGTAATGCTGTGTCATCTGCATACCACAGATTGCTAAGGAGTCTTCCTCCAGTCCTGATACCTCATTCTTCTTCATATAGTTCAGCTTCTCAGATTATTTGCTCAGATATAGATTGAATAAGTATGGTGAAAGGATACAACCCTGATACACACCTTTCCTCATCTTAAACCATGCAGTATCCCTTTGTTCTATTCCAATAACTGCCTATTGGGCCAGGCTAGATAGGGAAGTCTAAAATGAAGCCAGTAAAAACAAGAAGCGGGAAAAGCAGTTCTCATGAGAGTAGGTGAAGACAGGGATCATAGAATGGGGCATCCTTGACTTTCAACCAGAAGAGTAACCAAGCTCTGTCTTCAGCCTCCTCCTTTTTTATGCTATCTTCAGAGACCTCACCATCACCTCTAATGCCCTCTCCCTGCGGTACCAGCCCAATCCTCCCTCTGCAGCCTGGACTTCTAAGCTGAACACCCTCCTCCTGGAAGTGCCAGAGGCTCCTCAAACACAGACTACTCTAAACTAGACTTTCCTCCCTAACTAAAGAAAACCCCGCTCTTCCTCCTAGGACCAGTGACATAGTTCCAGAACCCAATACAAAAATAAAATGCAGTGGCCCTTGTTCAAAAGGCAGGGAAACAGTGCTGTTAAAGGTACTAAAATATTATACAGTTAGGTTTTGTTTTGTTTTCTTTCTTTCTTTCTTTTGTGGTCTCTTTCAACCTGTCGTGGTCTTTTTTATTGGCTTTTTAATGTTGCACTCCCTCAGGCACAGGGATACTTCAGGGTAAGTATAGACCCTCAAAGTTACTTAGAGGCCCTACCCATAACTCAGCATGCACACACGGCCCAACACATGTTGGGGTCCCCTCCCACCAGCCACCAGAGCCACCCACCATGCTTCAGTGGGGGTGAAGAAGTCATTTCAGCCAGGAATGCCCTTCCCTCCACCCCCATTCTGAAGAGTTCCCACTCATCATTCAAGGCTTATGTCTTCGCCTGTCCCATTTTCCCTGCCCTTTGGCAGAATTAATCACTTCTCAATCACTCATTTACTCATTCTCGAGGGCCCACCAGCCCAACCCACAGCACATGGGAGCTCCCACCCTGCCCACTGCCAAGAGCATTGCTGGGATGCACGAGATACCTGGTTCAGGAGTGGGTAAGGGCCTTGCCCCTAGCATGTCACCACCAAATGCATCATGGATCTGCCAGCTCAAAGCAGGGATGGCTTCTACCACGCCTCACTCCAAGATGCCACCAGGGCACACACACCCAACTCCAACCTTCCCATGCCCACCCCCAGGCCCTCACCAAGGACAGAGCACAGCATCAGTCGCAGGGCAGGGATAGGGAGGGGAAGAGTAAGCAGTGCCCCACAGCACCAAGGGCCAGGAAAGCAGGCAGCCAGGACTCCTTCTTGAAGAGGCAGGGAGCTGAAAGGAAGAAGGATCCAACATGAGCCAAGGCTCCAAGTCCCTGATGCAGGCTCCATTGTCTCATCACATTTCACTTATAAAACACAAATTCAAAGATAAAATGATTAAGAATTTCACCATGGAAACCGCAAAGCAGTAAACTCCGAGCACGGAGCCCTTCTTAGCACAGGGCGCTACGCCACTGCACTGTTGAAGCCCTAGAAGCTGACTCTGTTTCCACCTATATCCACTCTCCTGTAAGTGGCATCACTTCCCTTATCTAATCTGGAAGCCTCCCTGGCCGCCACATTCGAGTCTATCTGAAGCATCTCTCCACTGCTAGTGCCCTCACCTCGGCTCTTGCTCTCTCTCACCTGGACCACTCTACTTCCTGCCTTGCCCATCCTTCACATACCATTAGGGAGCTTTCTAAAAACACCAAGATCACACGACTGCTCTCCTCCAGAACTCTCCCTGGTTCTCTACTGCCACCTGAATAAGATCTGGACATACAATGGCGTTCAAGATCCTCTACTATCTTGATATTTTTCTAGCTTTACCTTCAGGCTTCATCTCCTTTATGCCAACATGCCATACTAAAACCAAAAAAACCAAACTCACTGCTGACGAGTTGGATCCTACCCATAGCGACCCTTCCTTGGGTTTCCCAGGTAGTATCACTACGGAAGTAGACTACCCAATCTTCCTTCTGAGGAGTGGCTAAACACATGCAATTTCACACCTGCTCTGCCAGCCTAGAATTCCTCTTCCCTCCACCCTCATCTTGAAGAACTCCTAATCATCATTCAAGTCACACCCCATACATCTTCTTCTGCCCCATTATCCTTTCCCCTTATCCAAATTAATCACTCATGTCCTGCCTCCAGCAGCACCTGACTTGACCCTCTTTCGACATTCACTCATTCATCTTAGCATTCACTCATTCATCTTATACTTATCAAGTGCCAGATAAAGTCCCTGAGTGGTACAAGCAGTTTGAGCTCAGCTGCTAACCAAAAGGTTGGTAATTCACCCACCCAAGAGCACCACAGAAGAAAGGCCTAGCAATCTGCTTCTGTGGAGATTCCAGCCAAGAAAACCCGATGGAGCAGTTCTTCCCTGTAACACACAGGGTCACCATGAGTCAGAATGGACATCAAAAATTTGACTCAAGGTTTTTTGTTTTTTAAGGGCCAAATGGAATCCCTGGTGAAAATGGTTGACATGGTCCAAAAGGTTTGAGGTTCAAGGCCACCTAGAGAAAGTTCTGGTGACCTATGTCCAAAATAATCAGTCCTTAAAAACCCTGTGGAGTACAGTTCTGCTCTGAGACATGTGCAGTCACCATGAGTCAGAATCAACTGCGTGGCAAATGATGTGTTTGGTTGGCTTTATTTTGTTTTGTGTCTGTGTTCCCAGACATTGTTCTAGGCACTGAAGTTACAGCTAGTAATGAAAACAAAGAAAACTGTTCCTTGTGGAGATTACATTCCAGAGGTGGGTGGGACAAAATGTCAACTAAGTAAAATATATTGTATGTGATATGGGCTATAGGGGAGCTCTGGTAGCATAGTGCCTAAGGCACTTGACTGTTAACCAGAAGGCTGGCGGTTCAGACCCACCAGCCACTCCTTGGAAGGAAGGTTGGGCAATCCTACTTCCGTAGTGATACTGCCTCGGAAACCCAAGGAGCGGTCGCTATGAGTCGGGGCCAACTCGACGGCACATAACAACAACAACGACGATATGGGCTATAGAGAAAAGTAAAGCAGAAAAGGGGAGTCGGGAGGCTGTGGATGAGGGGTGCAATTTTAAAATAAAGAAGGTGATGAGGCAAGATTTTACCAAGGTGACTTTTGAGCAAAAACCTGAAGAAGGTGAGGGAATAAGCCAGGAGATACCTGGTGATAAGAGGGTTCCAGGCAAAGGCCCTGAGGTATAGGACAATGAGGGTGGAGCTAGGAGAGACATGAGACAGAGATGACAAGGAGCCAGGTCATCCTGGGCCCTGTAGGATCTTGACTTTTATTCTGAGTGAGGCAGGAAAACATTGGAGGGTTCTGAACAGAAGAAATTTGAAAACTTGACTTACTATTATGTGTTTCTGTGTCTGTCACCCAATAGACTGGGCAATTCTGGGGGTCTGTTGGGCCTTATTGACCTCTACCTGGACCACCTGTGTGATTAACAATTAGACTCAAGTATACAATTAAAAGTATACAATTGGGTAAACTCACTGGCATCAAGTTGATTTCAACTCATAGCGACCCCTTTTGGGTTTCCAAGGTGGTAAATCTTTACGGAAGTAGATTACCCAGTCTTCCTTCTGTGGTGTGGGTGGGTTTGAACCACCAACCTTCTGGCTAATAGTCAAATGCCTTAGGCACTGCACCACCAGAACAGTGGCTGGGGATACATATATGTGTGTTTCTCCTGCAGACTGGTCAGCTGTGGTCTCACATCCAGCTGCTGCCAGGACCTGGCCTCTGTGCTCAGTGCCACCTCCAGCCTGACAGAGCTTGACCTGCGGCAGAATGACCTTGGCAGCCTGGGCATAAGGCTGCTTTGTGAGGGGCTGCGGCATCCCAGCTGCCAACTCAAGCTCCTGCGGTGAGGCCCTGTGGGTCCTTTCTGGGAAGAGGACAGGGGAGGGTGATGGGATGGCAGTAGCTAGAGGTTTCATGGAATCAGGAAAGAAAAGAGATGGATAAACATATAATCACCCTGGGTTCCTTACCAGCTCCACCACTTATGCTGTGTGAACTGTCATTTGGTGGCTTGCACCCAATGACTGATTGATGTATGTGACTTAGCCCCCTCATCCCAACAACTCAAAGCTCATCTCAGCTTGAGCACTCTCCATAGGGTTGGCCAGGACCACCACTGGGACTGCACCACAGCCCAACCCCTCCCTCTGCCCAGCCCTGTTCCATTCCTTCCCTTCCCCTAGTGTTGACCCAAGAGCACTCTCTCATCAAATTCCTCACTCTAATCTCCCTCCCAGAGCCTGATTCCCAAAGAACACACCCTATACAGATTCCTGCAGGAGGTGGCAGATTCCAGGATTCAGAGCTGTGAGAACCTCAGGATCACGGGGGGGCGGGGAATCTAGGGAGAACCAGGCTTCCTTTTTCCTTGCAGGCTGGACCAGACGGATCTGAGTGATGAGGTGAGCAGGGAACTGAGGGCCCTGGAGGGAGAGAAGCCTCAGCTGCTTATCGCCAGCAGATGGTAAGGACAGAACTCCCTCCCCCGACCTAGGCCTAGGGCTGTGACCATGAGGCTGGTCCAGAACCAGGAGGTGGGGAAAGATACTTGTGGTGTAGAGAGACAGACAGACCCAGGAAGAAACCAGGAGTCCAGGAGAGAGAGAGAGAGAGAGAGCACAGTAGCCAGAGCAAGGTTTGTTTTTAGTTTGTTTCATGCAAATACTATCATGTCCCAACTCTGCTTTTAAATGTTCCATGTGTCTTAGTTATCTAACATTACTATAACACAAACACCACAATTTTATTTTCTCACAGTTCAGGCTAGAAGTCCGACCTTGGAGCACCAGCTATAATGGAAGCCTCTCTCTCTCTCTCTCTCTCTATTGGCTCAGGGGGTAGACCCTTGTCTTAGCTTCTATAGTCCCAGCATTCTTCAATTCCTTGGCAACCTTCACAAGACATCTGTCTTCCACATGTGTGCTGTTTTGTCTCTGTATCTAATCTGTTCTTTTTATAACTCAGAAGTAATTACATTTAGAACCCACCTTCCACCAGTATGACCTCATTAACATAACATTAGATTGCATTATGGAAGGAGATTACAGTCCATTACATTCATAGTTATACCCACTGCCATTGAGTCAATTCAGGTTCATAGCAACACTTTTTAGGACAGAGTAGAACTGCCTCATAGGGTTTCCAAGGCTGTAAATCTTTACAGAAGCAGACTGCCTCATCTTTCTCCTGTGGAGTGGCTTTTGGGTTCAAACCGCCAACCTTTTGGTTAGCAGATGGATGCCTTCACCACTACACCACCAAAGCTTCTTTCCACAGGTATAGGGGTTAGGATTCTAACACATATTTTGGGGGATATGATTCAATCCATAACACCGTGAGATGAATATGGAGATGAATAAATGAGTGAGTGGATCCTTTGTGCCCTGCATAGTTTGATTCAGCGTGGGTGCTGGTTCATTGATTCAATGAATATAGCAAATTTTTTGAAAAATGGAAAGAAATGACCACAAGGGGGAGACAAAGACAAGGGGAGAGCCTTGGGAAACCACCACCTCCCTCTCTCTCTCTCTCTCTCTGTATATATGTATATATATGTATATGCGTATGTGTGTGTGTGTGTGT